TGCTCTGCCTGTCTGGAACTCCAGTTAGACATGTGTTAGTTTTTGGGCAGAACCGGGGATTGAACTCAGATCCTTGCGTTTGCCAGTCAAGCGCTTATCCTACTGAGCCATCTCCCCGGCCCCAACTTCAAGGCTTTTGATGTTATCAAAAAGTTTAATGAAGTGTTAAGTAAAATTTATTTATTTTTTCCTCAGTCTCTCTCCCATATTTTTTCTGCTGCTGTGATTTTAAGGTCACTGGTGTTTTCTTCTGCAGCATCTAACCAACTGCCAATCCCATTTGATTTATTTTTCACTTCCAAAACTGATTGCTATTTTTTAATGGGACTTTGGACCTGAGGTGTCCTATGCCTTAGCTTCATCCCCAGCCCTCTTTTATATTTGATTTTGGGACAGGATCTCACTAAGTTACCCAGGCTGGCCTTGAACTTGGGAACTTCCTGTCTCAGCTTCCCTAGTAGCTGGGGTCACAGATAGGCATCTCCACATTTTGACCATGTTGATTGTATTTCATCTCCAAAAGTTTTACTTGAGCCATATTACTATTTCTTTCTCATTCATTGTGTTCATGCTTTCTTCTACCTTCCTGAATACAAAGGGTATATTAGTAGTAGTTCTTAAAAGATAAATAAATAGGCTGGGGAAATGGCTCGGTGGAATAAGCACTTCCCTGGCAAGCACAAGGGCCTGAGTTCAATCCCTGGTTCTGCCAAAAAAAGAAATAAATTAAATAAATAAATAAATAAAAACAGTAGTTCTTGTCTTTTTGTTCTACCATCTAAACATGGCTGGGGGTGTGTCTACTGATTGGGCTTTTCCCTGGCTACAGATTACATTTTCCTCCTTCTTTACTTGTGTGGTATCTTTACTGGAAGATGAACATTTTTAACCTAACTGCCTATCTCAGACAAGTTTACCAAATGTTCCAGAGCGTGTAGAGACACTTTCAATATATCCTCCGTCTGATTTCCTCATTTTTAATGTATCTCACTTTTTGGGGTTCATTTGTCAAACCTGAAAACTGCCATTGACATGTTACTGCTAACTAAACTCCAAATTGTATTTGGGACCCCCTAGATTGCCCATTAGTGCCCTCTTTCTCTCCAGAGTGTCACTCAGCTGTCTTGTCTCCCCAGGACCTTCTGGCCTGTGACAGTGTCCCAGTCTCTTCCTGTCTGTCACGACCTTGACCGTCTAGAGGAGTACAGACCCACTCTCCTGTCATATATTCCCCAGCCACGGTTTTTATGTTGTTTTTCTCATGATTAGACTGGACTTGTGAGGTTTGGGACAAAATGTCACCAGCATGAAATACGCTTGTCATCTGTCACATTAAGCTCCTATGATCGCCACATGATGTCACTGGGTCAAGACCACGTTTTCCAGGTTTCTCCATTGGTAGCAGTAAAGTCACTGTCTTTCCCTTTCCCTCTTCTAGTCTCTGGAAGTAAGTTAGTAAGTGTCACCCAGACTCAGAGGACCAGAAACCAAGCTCCACCTTCTATGGGGAAAAGATCTACATAATATTAAAATCATTCTAGGGGCTGGTGAGATGGCTCAGTGGTCTAAAGCACATACTTAGAACAAGCTTAGCAAAGCACAGGGACCGCGGTTCGATCCCCCAGCACCACATGCCAGCCAGCCCCCCCCCCCCGGTGGGCTGAGCTGGCCACACACACACACACACACACACACACACACATACATAAATAAACAAATAATTTTTTTTTAAAAAAATCATTCTAGAAGCAAGATTGATCCCTCCTCCTTTTGACTCAATTCATGATGGAGGGCATGAACTCACATACATTTACTTTGTGCTTGGGGTTGGAACCCAATACTACACTTTTTATTTGATTAACCCCGTTGTTCAGCATTGACCGCTGGGAGCCCATTCAGGTCAGTCTTCATATCCCTTCGATATGCTCCATTCTGATTTTGCAACTCTTCCTTACTTTCTGCTGATATGAGATATTCTGCTTCACTTTGTGTTGCCCAGCTGTGGGCCTGGACTCTGCCATTTCTTCTTTTATTGGAGAATGGTATTAGAATCAGAGATGCGGCTGAAAGAGTTTATTACCAACAAGGTATCTTTGTTAATGAGACGTCTCTGTGAACACAGCCCTGGTGCACACACACAGCCCGAATAGTGTGTATCTATCCATCTGAATTCACATGAAGCTAAAATGAGTTCACACATACCCCCAGCTCTAATTCACAGAGTTCACTCTCTACTTCACTTCGTGGTTAGGAGGAGGAATCTAGTTCTCACCCTCTGCCACTCATTTATATATTTTTTTCATCAACACTTCCAAATTTTACGTTGTTAGGTGCTGGATTTTGTTGTATTCTTTCAAATATTGCTGACTTTGGTTTGTGAGACAGCTCAGTCATTTAGAATTGGTTTGCTGTTGCCAACCTTGCTTGTACATGTTGTTAACATTAACAACATTTGGTCTAGGATGAATTCAGCCCCACTACAGAGTCCATGACCTGCTGAGGCCTTGGCCTGATGCCCCGTGTAGTGCCAAGCCTTTCCACTCAAGCTTCTATGAAAGCGAACCATCTTCTGATTTCTGTATATCTTCTCTGTGTGCCCCCCTCCTCATCAATATTTTTTTAATGTACTTAGGACAGGGTCTACAGGGTCTCACTATGTAGATCAGCTTGTAGTGATTCTCCTGTCTTCAGCCTTCCGAGTGCTGGGATTACAGGCATGCACCACCACGCCCAGTCTCAGTGGCCATCTCAGTGTGCCCGTGGGGATCGAGCCCCGGCCACTTTACTCTGCCTAAGTAGGTACTTCACTCTGCTGAGCTATCTGGCCGGCCCTCCCATCAACACTTTAATCCACAGATTTTGGTCGCTCTGCCTCCCTGAACTCCAAGTTTTGTCTCCTCAGTTCAGTGAGCCTAACAGACTTGATTTTGGCCTTCTTTCTCCCTTCCCTGTGCTCCGGTCTGGTAACGCTCTTCAAGGGTGGCAAGCTGGGACAATCACAGGCCTCGTCTCCTTGGTTCTCCTTCTTTTAGCAATCCAGTATCTGAAAACCATCAATTCATAGATTTTTATCCTGTTTTCTGGTACTTCAAAAGGGAAAGAGTAAATCCAGCCTTGTTATTCTGTCATACCTAGAAGCAGAAGACCAAGCGCTCTGCTGGACGGCAAGGACACAACAGTAAATAAGGAGATGCCAGGCACCGGCCCTGTGATGTCTGCACTCTGATGCAGAGGGGAGCTTCCTTTCTGGGGTAGGGCTCTGCAGACACCTATGAAAAGCCAGATGGTAAATGTTGAGGCTTTCAAGACCAAGAGGCAAGTTGAGTTAAAACCACAGCACTGTGATTTACAGCATGCTGAGAAGCAGGCAGCACGGAACAGCAAGGGTGCCACACCCAGCCTTCACCACCAGCAGCGCAAAAGCAGCCAGACAGCAGGCACATAAGGAGTGTGGCTGCCATCCAAGGAGACTTTCTTTACAGATATTGAAATTTGGATTCCTTATTCTTTTCATCGGTGACAAAACATTATTCTCACCACCAATAAAATAAAATGAAATAAAAAGGACCGGAGAGATAGTTCAGGAGAATAAACACCTGCCTGGCAAGTGCAGGGTCCTGAGTTCAATCCCTGGTACTGTAAAAAACAAACAAACAAAAAGCATTATTCTCCTTTTGATTACTTTTAACCATTTAAAAATGTAAAAATCATTCTTAGTTTACCTGCCATATACAAACAGGTGGTGGGTGAGAGGTGATGGGCTATAGTTTGCCCATCTCTGTCCCATCTAGTGGAAGAGATAGAAAATAATCACTTACATAAATTGAGTAGATAGATGGCTGTTAGGTTATAAGAAGTACCAAGAGGGGAAATCTATTATTTTATTTTATTTTATTTGGATACAGGGTCTTGCTACGCAGTTTGGACTCTAGTGATCCTCCTGATTTCAGCCTCCCCAGCACTAGGATTACAGGCATGCACCACCACACCTGGTACTGGCACTGGTATAGCATGCAGTACTGGAGACTGAATTCAGGACCTTGTGTTTACCAGGCAGGCGCTTAAGCCCCTGAACTCTCTCCCCAGCCCCCAAGAAGGGAAACTGTAAAAGCAAGAAAGAGAGACGCTTAGAGCCTGGACAGTGTCCTGCGAGCATCTTGCCAAGAAGGTGACTTTTGTGTCTAAATCTCTAGAAGATCTGAGGAGGAGCTACACGGTGTTTACAAAAAGCGGGAGGCTTGTTTGCCATTGGTCTGGAGTCTGTCGCCCTGACCAGACCGAGCTCTTTGAGAAAGAGAGCAACAAACAGTATTTGTGTCCTTGGCCCTGAAACCCTGCTGGGCAAAGTGGGTGATCAGTGAGAAATAAACAGTGTGTGGGTAGCTGACTGACCAAGCGAGTCCCTAGGCAGAGACTCGGCGACCCGCTCAGCCGCCACCCTCCTGCTGTGGTGCCTGAGGAAGCCCCTCGTCCTCTCTGAGCCTCTGTTTCCTCCCTGGTGAAATGAGAGTCCTGCAGCGGTTGTGGCTTTGATGGAGATGGCTCATAGGGTGCGCCTGACTCAACCATATGCTAGGTGACAAGCTGTCATTTGCCCTGGAATGGCCCCTGGGCTGGCTCTGAGAAGCCTCAACCTGAACCGCCCTCCCCACCCATGGCCTCCTTCCTGAGAGGTCTTGGATCTTCCTTATTTTTTAAAATTTTGTTTGTTTATTTATTTATTTATCTGGTACAGGGTCTTGCTCCACAACTTGGACTCACAGTGATTCTCCTGTCTTAGCCTCCCCAGCTTTGGAATTACAGGCATACACCACCAGGCCCAGTTTCAGCGGCCTGCTTGGCAGTGCGGCGTGTGGTACCCAGGACTGAACCTGGGTCCTTGCATTTGCCGTGCAGGCACTTAGACCACGGAGTTATTTCTCCAGCCCCAAGGTCTTGGGTCTTCTCAACTGGGCCAAGAGGACAGCGGCCTTCTGCCATTCAACATCAAGCAGCAGACAGTGGAAGGAGGGAGTGCTGCTCTAGGCCTCCCGAGCCCCAGGCTCAGTCTCAGCTGTGTCACTGTCTCTTTTGAAGCCCTGGGAGGGCTGTACCATCTGCCTGTTTAATGATCCTAAAAGAGGAGAACATCAAGGTGAGCCCTCCAGTGGCCTGTACTGAGTCTCCAGGCCACAATATGAGGAAGGCAAAGGGACACCAGAGTCACTAAGCCTCTGCCCTAGCCGGTTCACTCACCTGCTAGCAGCCAGCCATTGGAAAGGGGCAGGAGCCAAGGTTCCAAGTTCAAGTCTTACAGTTGCCACTTCCAGATAAGTGACCCCAAGTGGTCAGTTTTGTTTGTTTCAAAACTGAAGGTTAAACTTAGGGCCTTCGCATTGAGCTACACCTTAGCCCTCTTTTTTTTTTTTTTAATTTTGAAAAAGGCTTTCACTAAGTTGCTCATGCAGAACTTACACATGGTATGCTCCTGTCTCAGCCTCCTGAAGTGCTGGGATTACAGGTGTGTGCCACCATGCCTAGGCTCCCAGATTATTGGAATCAGAGGCTGCTGCTGCCTGTGGACAGAGCCCTGGCTCTGGTCTAGTCCCTCAGCTGTCTCTTCTACCACTTTCTCTGCCTCCACCCTCCATAGCAGCCCTAGTCCCTGTGACTCACCTGCTCTTACTGCCCTCATGGACCTTGTTGCTCCCTGGTTTCCCTTCCTCGCTGTCTCCTGTCTGTAACCTCCCTAGGAGCTATAACCACCATGAAGACATTGCCAATTTAGGTCCCCTGTGTCCCATGTCTCCAGCCCCTGGAAAAGATAGGCAAGTTAGAATGGCCAGAGATAGTGTTAAGGGGACCAAGCTAAAGTTCACTCAACAATCATTCAGTCCAAGGATCCCTTGGTGGGGTGGGGAGCCCGTTGGAGTGGAGCTGCAACTCTGATCTGTTCCCGGAGCCTCAGTTTCTGCATCAGGACCACAGAGGGTATCCCCATCCCTGTGCTGCTGGGCTCTCCAGGAGGGACTCAGACTTCTGTAGTGGGCCAAGACTGGGAAGTGGCATGGACAATCTCTCAGGGTGACAGAGCTTGCTGGCTCTGTAGGATCAAGGGCTTGGCACAGAGCCTGGCATGCGGCAGAGATGCAGGCTTGGAACTACTATTATTGTCCCATCGGCCTTCAGGGTTGTTCCAGGGGCTCGGACATGACAACAGGCGATGACGTTTTGCTCTTCATGAGTCTACAGCACAGTGCAAAACTCGGGGGACCTTATTTCATTATTATCACCAATAATAATAATAATAATAATAATAATAATAATAATAATTCTGTGAATTTGTGTACTTAGGAAACTCTTTCTAAAGGGTACAGGGTGCTTTCCCACCCATCCTTCTAAGCAGAGTCACCCAGAAGTGGAAAAGTAGGGACAATTCCAATCTAGCCACACAGCACTGCGAGGTGTTGTCATCGTCGGAGGGCGTGCCAGCCTCCTGCAGCACCGAGGGTGCCTCCCCTCACCTGTGCCTCACCTGCTGGCAAAAGACAGCCCAAGGGCCCCTGAGCTTGACTCACCCATTCAAGACAGGCCCTGGAGAGCCACCAGCCCCTGGAGAATGGCCAAGCCAGGGGCTCGCCACGTGCTCAATGCACAGGGCTCCAGAACTAGCCAGCCCTTGGGACAGGCAGCCAGGCTCTCAATCCTCAGGAACTGCAGAGCTGTTATGTGTCCGGCCCCAGATCTCCCTCTGCCAGTCCGCAACCAGCAGCTGAGCCAGGGTCACCCACATTCTGGTCTCTCCCTTGGGATTCAGCTATGCCTGTGCAACAGTGGAATGGGAATCCCTGGGGCAGCTGGGCACCCTGCGCCAGCTAGGAATCCCAACAAACCAATAGATCTACCATTTCCTGAATGCCCCCAGAGGGACTGCATGTCGGCCTCTGTGCCGGGCTCCTGGAGCTGGGGGAAAACGTGGCTCCTGACCACAGCGGGCTCTCCATCAGCCACCTTGTGAGGCAAGGCAGGTGAGTGGCTGTGCTAGGGTACCTGGAAGAGGGAAGTGACCACCTGGGGCTCAGGGATGCTCTGGGCAAGGTGACCACTGAGCCAACCAGAGGACCAGCAGAGCTACAAAGTAAGAAGAGGAGGTGAAACAATCTCTTCATCTGTAAAATGAGTAATGACCCTAACTCCAAAGGTTATAGTGAGTTTTAAGAGCAAGAAAGGAGAAAGTTCTTTTTAACCTGTGAATCACAGGACTTGTTTCAGGACTTCTTACTGGGGTTTTTACTCTGATGAATTGGAGTCCCCAAACCCCATGTTCCTCAGTCAGACCCTGGTTACACCAGGACTCACACTGTCATGTCCACTCAGAATTGAAGCCTGTGTGGGTCTTTTGGTCACAGGGACACCAGCACCTATGCCAGCATGAGACAGAGGAAGGACAACTCCCTCAAGTCCTCTGTGGCCTGATTTGGATATGAGCCCCCAGGCCCACTGGTCCCAACTTTGTCCAGCACTCAGTCCTCCTGGCCCAGGCCCCTTTGTCTCTTCTCCTATTTCTGTCCTTACCTGGATTCTCACACTGGACATTTGGAACCTTGTAACAGTCATGGTCCTTCGGAGCATGATTAGGACCTCCTACCTTCCTACCTGGAGCCACACTGGGGGAAGTAGCCCTCTTGGTTTGATTCTGGTGGCCACCACCAGGAACACCACTGGTCAGCATCAGAATCATGAGCCCCTGCTACTAGCAACACCACCAGTCTCCTCCACAGGTACAGTGCGACCACCATGGTCACCAGCACTGAAATCAGGACGACCACAGCTGCTGTCACCACCATCATCACCACGGTCATCACAACCATCACTGTTGGCCTCACCATCAGCACCACCACCACCATTATCGCCACCAATGTCACCATGATCTCAACGGTCACTGTCATCACTGCTGCCTCACCACAGAGCCACCGCCCAAATCACCACCACTATCATCATAGTCATCACTACCATCCCTGCTGCTATCACCTCCACCCCAAGATATCACCATCACAACCACCGAACCAGGATTACCACCTTTGAGACCATCGCCACCATTGATAACATTATTCCACAGGCAGTGGGACAACCACCACCATTACCACTACTATAATCACCAGCAAGATCACCGCCATTGCCACTATTACCACCAAATCACCACTTGGACCATCACCAATGTAATCTCCACCACTACCGTAGTCACCATCGTGACCACCACCACAAGCACCACCATGACCATGATCACCATCATGATTACCACTATTGCCACGACCACCACTATAATCACCATCATGAGCATCACCATCACTACTACCACCAGCATAATCACCACCATCACCACCACCACCACCATCACCATCATGGCCACTACCACCATAATCACCACCATAACCACCACCACCATCACCACCATGGCCACTACCACCATGACCACCATGACCACCACCACCATCACCACCAT